GGGGGGGGGAGCCACACTTTTTTTATGTTGTGCTGTTTTTGTCAATTATCAGTTGACCAGATAGCCAGAAGACACTTGGCATAATTAAAATTCCCTGATGTCGACTTTTAGCTGTGCAAAGAAAATTATTTTATTTTGTCAGCCTGCCAAACACTCCAAATCATATTAGCAATGTAATGTAGTCCAACACACCAAGCACTACATGCATTTAACTATGTTTTTCCTTTTTGTTTTTTTGTTTTGTTTTTTTTAGCTTTGTTTACAATGGGCAACATAATGTAGAATAGCACTTATTTCAAAAAACAAACAACTAAATAAGCAAGTAAATAAATACAAATGTAAGCATGATATACTACATGACTAATTTTTCTGATTACTCGTGATCAACCACACGATTATCATGCGTGCCCTGGGAAATAAACACAAGTTGTATGTTGGTTTACATAATTTAATATTCAAGTGGAGCGGAAGCTGGCGTTATAACTCACATTGACCATCAAGACGGAAATAAATGAACATTAAAAAATTGAATTAGCAACATAAAAGCAGATATTTCAACACAAATGGGTGATGGTGACTTTACAGCCACAACTGTGGAGGATACACTGAGTGAACATGCCATTAGCAAAGCTGAGGAGCTTGTTAGAGACCCTTTAAAAGATGAAACATCAACGTTCAGAGCAGAGAGGGTTGAGAAATCTGACTCAAAAGATGACACTGTTGCAGAGGGACAGACGAGAGAGAAAACTCTGGCAAAGGAGTTCACTTCCACCACTCCAAAAGCTGCAGCAAGTTGTGTTGAAGCAGTTTTGGCAGTTGCCTCTGACTGCGCAGTAATTGCGTCAGAGCTGGGAGTAGGTGAAGCAATTACTGAAGACAACAGTAAAGGAGCTGCAGACAAGTCAGCTGATGTAGTGCTGATTGAAACTGCTGAACCCGAATCTAATGCTGTCACTCCTGAGACCGGGGAAGCAAATGACATTACCTCCCTAGACAAAGAGGCTGTGACTGGAGTGACGGAAACAATCTCTGAGGTTGTTCATGAGAAGCCAAACTCCGCAGCCACAAATGAAGACATGCCTGTAAAAGAAGCCGCTGTCCGTTTTCAGAATGGAAATCTAGTTAAGGTGGATCTGGCCCATGAGGAGGTCACTCCTGATGATGCACCACAGCTGAAGATGTGCTACAAATAAGTGAGCAAGACAATATTAGCCCTATAACTACCAATGAGTCTGGAGAAATGTTCGGTAGTTGTCCCAAAGAAGAAATTAATGTTGCAGAAGCCTGAAGCTACTTTAAAATCTCCAGCAACTGAAGTCAATCCACATTGTATTCTAGAGATTATTATAGTAGACATCGAAGTTGAAGAACATGTGATAACTGAGATAGAAACAGAATCAACAATTTGAACCACGCTTCAGGAGCCTGCAGTGGATAACAACAGCACCGTCAAAGAAGAGGACATTGTGGCAACAGCTTTTGTGCTTCTCTCTGGAGAACATGAAGAGCGTCTTTCCCATTCAGAACAAGCTTTTTCAGATCAAGCTTAAACAGTGGCAGACAGTGTTGAGGAGAATACTTCAGTCCAAGGTTTAAGGAGAGGTAGAGGTTGCAAGTTCTGAAAAAGCTGTAGAAGAAAGTGACATAGAAAAGGTTAAGAATCTAAAGATAATGAAAGCCATGACACACCTGAACAAACCCTTGTAATCTTAGAGGAAGCAGGACGAGAACCCAAGCCCTTTGTAAAGAAGATGGTAACAGTGAGGGTTAGGGTTTGTTTGTTTTTTCAGAAATCCTACAGATAATTTAAACAAACTTGAAGAACTAACAACTGAAGGACACCACAGAAGATTTAGAGCCTAATGTTTTAGTCTAAGAAGAATACTGAGGAGAATACTGCCCCAGAGAATGCTGATCAAGGATAGATGCTGTTATGTGTGATTTATATGTGAGCCTTGGGATTAAATCCTAAAAAGATAATCCAACCTTGTTTTTGTTTTATTTCTCCAAATAGCCTGGGAAAGATAGTAGAGAACAAATAAAAATGAGTCACTATTTCTCATCCTTGAGACAACTGAAAATTAACATTTCACCTCTGAAGATTCTTAAACTGCCATCTGATGAGCCTGTGGCAAAGTGTGGCGATGCACTCCCAGGCCAGAAGTTAAATACACCTCTAGGTGGAGAGTGATACTGAAGAGACGCATGAGAGGCGGTGCAAACCGGATAGATTCAACATGCGATGTACAGAATTTCCTTAAGGCGTCTCAGTAACAAGCTCAAACATTGAACGTTTACCTCTTAGGTTTCAGTCACCTATAGCTGTTGAGAAAAACAACAAGCCTGGTGACTGAAAGATAATTTCACCAGTCCTCCGTATTATTGACATCCACGAGTCTTCAAACAAACAAATAAATTATGAATGAGCAGTGATCAATAAGCTGACACGGAAATATTAATTTGAAGTTTCCTTTTCT